GTGTAAGGACCCTTGCTGTCTATGCTGTCTATGCAGGGTCAGACAGCTCTCAGATTCCATCAAATATCTTAATTTGTGTTCCGAAGATGAACGGAGGTCTTACGGGTTTGGAACAACATGAGGGTGAGTAATTAATGACAAAATTTTCATTTTTGGGTGAACTAACCCTTTAATAGTAGTGTACATTTAGAATAAAAAATTTAGCAGAGTAAGCAATAGCAGTAGACTGTTAGACTATAGAAAAATGTGATGATGATGATCTGAAGTCCTGTACTCCCCCTATGTTTAACTGAAGGCATCTGTTTCCATTTGACTTTTGCCAAAAAAAACTCTTCGTATCAACTTTTCGTATCATTGACTTCATATTAAATCATGATTTTAACATAATTTACATTAGACCGGCCCCATCCATCACTGCTTTTAAATCCTATCTTAAGACATATATATTCCTCCAGCTTTTACCATTACTTAAGTATTTTTTTTGGATCGATCTCGTATTAAGCTGATTGTCTATTGTTTACTTGATTTAATTTCCTCTTTAATCTTGCTCCCTTTCAATTCATTGGTATTATTATCATTGTACAGCACTTTGGTGAACCTCGGTTGTATTTAAATATGCTCTATAAATAAACATTGATTAGTCATTTCTAGTATGTCTCTGTGTTTGCAATTATGTGAAATAAGCATATGTTGATGTTTGTTTATATCAGAGCATCTCAGTCATCTAGACGCAGACCCTCATGAATGTGCGCTATGGGTGCTGCTGAAGAAAACCCGCTCTGCCGACCGGGCCGTTAGACAGCAGGCGGTGCAGGAACTGGCCCAGAATCACCACTGGCAGGGTGAGAGATGGCAGCACACTTCAATTCATTATTATAAAATGTCAAGTTCTGCTGAATTTACTGAAAACTTGCTGTTGCTCTTGCGCAGCAAAACCTATTTCTATTGCGCAGACCCCTTTGCCTACCAAAGAAAAATAATTCACTATAAATCTGTGAGCTCTGAATGGTCTTTTGTCTTGTCCATCACAGATTATCAGTACCAGACTGCAGCACAGGTGGTAGATCAGCGCACAGCTGTGGCTCTCGCCCGCATGCCTAACGTGGACCTGCGCTTCTTTCTCCCTCCACCTCCACTGCCACATACTGACGATGTGGGTAGCTATCATTCAGACAATAGCCAAATTGAACTGCTGTGTAATGTCAGATATCTGTGCTAAAGTTTTGTGCATGTATTATAGGATATATCGATTGAAGATGGGCTTAGGCAGTTACTGGCATCTCTGCCCCAGTCGGAGGTGGATCGGTGTGTGCAGTACTTCACCTCTCTGGCATTAAGAGAGAGCAGCCAATCACTAGCCTCTCAACGGGTGAGACATACATAGTCAAACTATAGAGTGCAACAGTTCCTAAAAATCTCCATAGTTTGTTTAACAATAACCTACATGTACGTTCTCAAACTACCTAAATATTTGTGTGTATTTATTCCTCAGAAAGTATTCTTTCGAATACTTTTTTGGCTTTGTAATATTGTGATTTACCATGTACCAAATCATTTTTAAATTCCCCATGGGAAAATGAATGGAAAAAACACTTCTTGAATCAAGGATCCTGAAAAAGTGTTTAAGCACCATTGTACTTATTTTACTCAAATTTATATCCATATAAAAGTGTCACTGTGTTAGCTGTGCATTTTGGTCTGTGATTATAGGGAGGACTGTGGTGTTTTGGAGGAAATGGGTTGCCCTATGCCCAAAGCCTGACTTCCACCCCCTCTCAGAAGGTGGAGACGTTCTGCCTGCAGGCCCTGGTGCAGCACTCAAAGGTGAAGGTTTACAAACTCTGCAAAGTTACATGTATTTGTGTAGCAAGGAAGTAAGCAATGATCAAAGAAGACAGGATGCTTGTGTTTTGTAGATCTTCTTGAGGTGTACCTTCAGTTGATTGGTTTTAATCAAGAATTTGACTTAAATAAACAAATCAATTCAAAGCATTTAATTGTTCTTTGTTCACAGGTCCAAAGTCATTGTGACCACGTTGTTGCTAATGGAGGACTGCTGCTTTTGCAAAGAGTCTACCAGCTTCGCAGAGACTCTCCGAAAATTCAGCGCAACATTGTGCGAATTATTGGAAACCTCACCCTGAATGACAGCTTGCACACAGCCATAGTACTGTCAGGTTAGCTTTATATTTTAGAATAACTGATTTTATGTTGAAAAAGAGTAGTTCTTTATTCTCTTTTGTGGTTGACCTTTAGGTTGGGTGGCTGTCCTGGCTGAGATGATCCAGTCACCACACATCATGCAGGCATCTCATGCTGCCCGTGCTTTAGCCAATTTGGACAGAGACGCAGTAAGGCAGAAGTACCAGGATGGTGTTTACATATTGCACCCACAATGCCGCACTAAGTATGTATGCTTATATGAACTTCCACTTATGCTCACCAAGTCTGCATTTATTTGATCAAACATACAGTAAAAACGGTAGTATTGTGACATATTTACAATAACTGTTTTTATTGTAATATATTTTAAAATGTAATTTATTCCTGTGATGGCAAAGCTGAATTTTCAGCAGTCTCCTTAAGAAATCATTCTGATATGCTGATTTGCTGCTCAAGCAACATCTTACCAATGTTCAAAACTATTGTGCTGCTTAATATTTTTGGGAAATCTGTTGTAACGTTATAAAAGCTTATAAAAGTCTAACTTTTGATCAGTTAAATGCATCTTTGCCGAATATGTATGAAAAGGTATTTTGTTTAGTGAGGATTAATTATGTCTTCCATCCTTTATATTCAGTCAGCCAATCAAAGCCGATGTTCTCTTTGTGCACGGCCTCTTGGGAGCAGCTTTTAAAACTTGGCGTCAAAAGGACCTTGATGTGACGGAAGATGACAAGGTGGAAGGGGTTAGAGAGGACTACACTGAATGCTGGCCTAAGGTCAGATATATATATAATTTTTTTTTTTTATAGAAGCTCATGAGTACCCAAATATTACTTGCAGTGTAATGGCATTACAGGGCCTCAGGGGTATTTTGAAAGTCTGGCTGAAGTTTAAAGTCAGTGATTTTTTTTTTTTTTTTGCATTTTCCACAGTCGTGGTTGGCTGCAGACTGTCCAAACCTCAGAATCCTGTCTGTTGAGTATGACACCCATTTAAGTGACTGGAAGGCTAAGTGTCCTGCTGAAAACCAAAGGTAAACAGTAAATTTTCGATGTGTGCCGTGCATTACTAAATTATATGATTAACTCAACATTGCATACCAAATATCTGTTTGTCCCTGATTTTTGTGTTATACAGGAAGTCTTTGGCTTACAGAAGTCAGGAACTGCTGAGGAAATTGAAGGATGCAGGTGTAGGGGACAGACCTGTGGTGTGGGTAGCCCACAGTATGGGAGGTTAGTCCATTGTGGGTCTTAAAATAACCAGCACCCAACTATGAGAGTAATTTTCTAAATCTTCCTACATTTGTGTAGCTGTCTAAATTATTTTCAATATAATGTTTTTTTACAATTTTTTTAATTGCGACTGCTTATGTATAACAAAAATGTAATTTTAGTTTCAACAGGGAGTTTAATATTAATTTTAGAGGTTTAAAAACTCACAAGGCCATATTGTGATTTCAGTATTTTAATTAATTGTGCAGCCCTGTTTGTAGCTAAAAAATCCATTTGTAACTCTAAATCAAAACTTGTGTCACAGGTTTACTTGTGAAAAAGATGCTCTTAGATGCCTCTAAAGATCCTGATCTCAGTCCGCTGATCAAGAACACAAAGGGAATTCTGTTCTACAGCGTTCCTCATCACGGCACGTTCATGGCAGAGTATTCTGTAAATGTCCGATACCTACTGTTTCCCTCCATTGAAGTAAAAGAACTATGTAGAGGTATAGTGTGATTTATTTTTGTTCCCTAAATATTAATGCAATATTAATTCCTCCACTTAAGATTAAGATTCTAAATCTAATTTGCTCATCATTTTTCTGTTCACCTGTTTCGACTCAGACTCTCCAGCGTTACGGGACTTGAATGAAAATTTCCTGAACATTGCAAAGGAACAAGAGTTCAAGGTCCTTAGCTTTGCAGAAACTCTACCAACCTACATTGGGCCGATGCTCAAAATATTGGTAGTTCCATCGCAGTCAGCAGGTAGGTCAGGATAATTGAACAACAAGCAGCATCGTGATGTATCATTTTTACATAATAACTGACGGTTTTAGGTACCTGGTATCAGAAAACAAAAATTCTCTTTTTGCTCTTTCAGATCTGGGTATTGGGGACCTCATCCAGGTGGACGTTGATCACCTCAACACCTGCAAGCCAGAAAAAAAAGACTCATTTCTCTATAAACGTACTTTACAGTTTATTCGGGATGCTCTTGGAGGACAGAGAATTAAGTGAACTCTTAAGTCCACAGTCCAAAACCGGTCTCTTGCCATTTCATTGCCTCTTGAGGGTTCAACAGTTACATTTTAAAAGATAGTGTTAACTATGAATAGAAGGAAGTTCTAAAATTGCAACTGGATTTTTCTTTTCATTTTTTTAATTCAATCAAGCTATAACAAGCTATAACAAATTGAAATGAGTATCAAGTATATTATGTTTAAAATAATCATTTATAGAAAGTCCATTGTATTTATATTATTTATTTTTCTTGGAAAAAGCTGAAAACTAGCCTTTTTCTTAACTCACCAGCCTTCTTTGTATCCCTACCTCAGACTCACAGGTTGGTACCGATGCTGGCTGTAATTTGCCACTATTTTTGTACTAATGGATTAATTGTAGTACTTGCATAGGACCATATTACTTTTATTTTGATGTTGAGTATGTGCAAGACATAATTATTGCCAAATGTTTATCACACTGAATAAAGTTGTGCGTCCTAACTTTATATTCCACTTAAATCAGATACTTTTACTATAGCAATAATGCAGCCTTTTCTTTTCAGAGCAACAGGGCGCTCCAGGCCAGCAGAGTGCAGTAGAGCTCACAGATCGAACATTAGTCTGCTACTAGAGGAAGACCATTGTTAGTAGACGGTGGACACTGTAGGCTTAAAACAAATTGACAGATAAACACATTAAAAATCATGTAAGAATGACTTTTTTTTTTTAAATGTTCAAAAACTGCTTGTTTTTAGATGTATATGATTTGCGAATATATGTTTGGAGTTACGCACAGTATGTGAAACATTTGTGATGTACAAACACTCACGGTAGCATTAACCTGCTAACTTTTTGTTATTATTTTTCAGTTCAGAACAATTTTGCCTTTTGTAGATACATAGGCTTTAACTGAAGAAACAGAAGTGTTAACACATCCCGTCCAAAATGGTTAATGTCTTGAAAGGAGTTCTCGTTGAATGGTAAGTTTTACATATAACGATTTAAAGGTGCATTCAGTATTTTTTCTCCGATTAAAAATGTTAAACTTAGAAATAAACAATAATTTAAAAAAAAATCTATGTGAAGTCATATAAACTTACAGTAGATGAAGAGATAAGTAGTCTAAAGCCGTTTTATTTTACATGGAGCGGGTCGCCACATGGGTAACATCGCGTGACCAGCAGAAGTACCATTCACTTGATCTTGGATCCGCTTATATACTTGCTTATCTATTAATATTTGTGGTTGACTGATTAAAGTGTTTCTTCAGTGTTACATGTAACTGAAAATTTTGGCACAAGGTATCAAAAAAAATATATGAGTGCACTTTTAAAATAAAGTAATGCTGCAGTGCACCATCATTTATGATTCTTCTTTTAAAATATGAAACAGTGACCCAGCTATGAAGCAATTTCTTCTATATCTGGACGAGACGTCAGCATTGGGGAAGAAATTTATCATCCAGGATTTGGACGACACGCATGTTTTCATCCTAGCTGAAGTTGTGCAGATTCTCCAGGAGCGAGTAGGAGAACTGATGGACCAGAATTCATTCCCCATCACCCAGAAATAAATGTCTGAATCTGACAGCAGACCTTACAATCTGTGGGAGCAGATGGATGTGGAGATTCTTTCAGCACAATTGCACAAACACAGATGGACCTAAAATATATAGATGACTGGGTACTAGGATGATGCCTGTTATCCTTGTTTTAGTTTGACTGTGTTGCATAAATTTTTCATCTGACAGAATTATATGCTTTATGTTGCATATGTTTCAAAGACAGCTTCTTGAATCTTTTCAGCATTTCAGAATTGTTCACAAACTGAAAGCAGATGGTTGATGACAGTGTGATTTATATACATGCATAATATACAAGCATCAAATAAAAAAAACTTAAAAAACATAAATGTTTTCAAAATGTGCTTAATTTGTTTCCTGCATACATTATAATTAGCCTTAAAAATTAGAAAACTGCTGTATTGATAGGTGCCAGTTTGTAAAATTCCCTTTTCTGTTTATTCTCTTTCTAGTGAAAACCCAGCTCAAGCCACGTGTACAAGGGGTTGATAAGGCATTTAGACAACTGAGATGTGTCTGTAATCAGGATATTGGTACTTTTTGGTGCGAGGAGAACAAACCGCAAAATCAAAATAGTGAACAGCATTATATTTCCAAAATATCCAGCATGTTTTGATTAAGGAAGGGAAAGTGGTGCGGTGCACTCTTGGAAGTACCTAGTAGATCACCTAGTAAAACTGACTGGCTATACAACACCACTATCTGAAAATAAGGTGCCATTTCCTCTTTAAGAAGACCATCATGTGGAAGTAAGAGGAAGTGTTATTGTGTGTCAGACCTATAGCTTTGTAGTGCTACATCCAGTTTATTTTATTACCTACCAATACAGCTATGATATAGATCTATCTCTCTGAAAATAAGGTGCCATTTCCTCTTTAAGAAGACCATCATGTGGAAGTAAGAGGAAGCGTTATTGTGTGTCAGACCTATAGCTTTGTAGTGCTACATCCAGTTTATTTTATTACCTACCAATACAGCTATGATATAGATCTATCTCTCTGTCTGTCAGTCTATATATCTGTCTGTCAGTCTATCTATCTAATATATGTTTGTCTATCTATCTGTCTGTCTGTCTATCTATCTAATTTATGTTTGTGTCTATCTATCTGTCTGTCTGTCTATCTATCTAATATATGTTTGCGTCTATCTATCTGTCTGTCTGTCTGTCTGTCTATCTAATATATGTTTGTGTCTATCTATCTATCTATCTATCTAGCTATCTGTCTGTCTGTCTGTCTACCTATCTAATATATGTTTGTATCTATCTATCTATCTATCTATCTATCTATCTATCTAATATATATGTATGTCTGTCTATCTATCTATCTATCTATCTATAATCTATCTATCTAATATATGTTTGTGTCTATCTATCTATCCGTCTCTCTGTCTGTGTGAGCCTAATCAAAGTAATACAAATAAGAGAGCTGCAGCTGTTTATTATTAAAAATTGTCAGTTCACTTTGATTTGGGCAGCCTCATAACAACCGTTTGAAATTCATAGTTTGTATCTATCTATCTATCTATGTATCTATCTAATATATATGTCTGTCTGTCTATCTATCTATCTATCTATCTATAATCTATCTATCTAATATATGTTTGTGTCTTTCTATCTATCTATCTATCTGTCTGTCTGTCTGTCTGTCTATCTATCTATCTGTCATCTATCTAATATATGTTTGTGTCTATCTATCTATCCGTCTCTCTGTCTGTGTGAGCCTAATCAAAGTAATACAAATAAGAGAGCTGCAGCTGTTTATTATTAAAAATTGTCAGTTCACTTTGATTTGGGCAGCCTCATAACAACCGTTTGAAATTCATTAAAAAAAAAAAAAAAAAAGTATAAACACAGAGGACGCGCGTTTTGTAGTTGTATAAGGACTTATGTTTTGACCGTCTGTTTTGACTTTAGAAAGATGCATTTTAATTTTTTTATATAGTTATCATAGTTTTATATTCTTCTTCTTACTTAATTAAAAATAATTCACATAATTGTATCTGTGACATTGATGGCATTTTCTTTCAAAACAATCTAATGGTAAGTCATTTGAAATGTCCTGTTTTCAGTGCGTACTCTGTTCTGAAGTTCATGATCGTCTGGATGCTGGTGCTGTTAGCTGACTTTGTTCTGGAGTTCAGACTGGAATACCTGTGGCCATGTTGGCTCTTTCTAGGGACCGTCTACACCACATTTCACTGTCATGGACTGGTAGGCAATTTTCTGCTCTGCACACTCAGCTGTATTGTTTGCTTTTAAAATAATAACAAAACTGAATGAATTTTCTTGCTCCGTTTTCTTTTTCATTATGTTGTGTTCCTGAATTTTTTTTTTCATTTCATATTTACAAAGAAAAAATAGATATTAAACCAACAAACCTTTGCTTTTCTATTACAGGCCATCTGTGTTGTTTTCGTGTGTGCAGCAGTTACCCTGGACTTATTCTGTTTCATTTTTGTACCCTTACACTGGCTGTTTTTTGCAGCCAGCACATATGTCTTACTCAACTATATGTGGCATACAGGTGAGCCCTAAACGCTTTTAATCAGGTTGCCATTTAATTAACACTTACAGAGCCACTGTGCCCTTGGAAGTACTATGGATATAAACAATATATACATTCATTTACATTAGGGATGCACGATATATCGGCCACCATATCGGTATCGGGCAAAATTTTCATATCGGTGCATCCCTAATTTACATATATACATAATTTATTTGCAGAAAAGGGAATCTGTATGTCAACTGTGACATTATGGATACTCTTAGTGTATATGGAGGCCTCTCTACGGTTGCGGGACCTGAAAAGCCCTCATGCAAATCTGTCCCATCTATTTGCTGCACACTGGTAGGTTCTGATTGGCAATTTATTTTAGAGCTGAATGTGATATGGAGTTTTAAATGAACACTAATTTTACCAGCTGTGTTTCATACTGTAATTTAACACAAGCTATTATTATTTCTTCCAGCATTGGTTATCCGCTAGTGTATATGGGATTTGATGTAACATGCTACTTCTCCAGTGTGTTTAAGCTGCGCACTCAGAAATCAGTTCAGAGTGAGAATGACCTCCACATGGATGTCCTGCAACAATCCCTACCTCCTTACATGCACCTGTACCCAAAATTGTGGATGGAAGGTATGTATAATTTCTTTTAAAGTACCATGTAATATGTAGCTATCTTTTTAAAAAGTTAAATAGTTTAAAGGGATAGTTCACACACAAAAAAAAATTCTGTCATTAATAACTCACCCTCACATCGTTCCAAACCCGTAAGACCTTCGTTCATCTTCAGAACACAAATTAAGATTTTTTTGATGATATGCAAGAGCTTTCTGACCCTGCATAGACAGCAACACAACTGACATGTTCAAGGCCTAGAAAGGTAGTAAGGACATCATTAAAATAGTCCATGTGTTCAACCATAATGTTATGAAGGTACGAGAATGCTTTTTGTGTGCAAGGAAAACAAAAATAACAACTTTATTCAACAATTTCATCTCATCCGTGTCAGTCTTCGACGCGCGTTCTTATAAAATGCATTAAAAAATAAATAAAAATAACGTGATGAAGTTCAAAAATGTAAAATTGTGACAAATGTCTTTGTACAGATCCCAAATATAGGGTGGCCAAATCTAGGCCGACGCAATACCAGTGTCCATCCGATTCCATCACCTCAGAGGACAAACAAAACATGGAAGACTGCCTTCAAATCCACAGACTTCCTGCAAGACCCGAAAGAGACACAAATCCACAAACTCCAGGACCCAAGCACCGTGGAGGTGAACTTCATTTGGACTCTACGTCCATGCTAGAAATGACTGAAAGCCTACCTCAGGAGGATCAGAGCAGCAAAGCTCAAAGACCCTCCAAGAGCTCCTTGCCTAAAGTGCATCGAGGTTCAGTGAATATCCCTAACAGCAAAGGGGAGAAGAGGCAGAAAGCCCCCAAAGCCATCAACACAATAGGGGACTCTGCTGAAAAGTGCTCGTCAAACATCTCCCCAAGTCCTCCGAACCCACATGCTGAGCAGATGCTGAAGTATGTTTTATGTTATTTCATTTCAATATGCACTGATTGTAATGGACTGTGGAAGATGGTTAATGAATTTTCGAGTACAGTTACACTGTGATCTCCATCTGCTCCACAGGCTGGAACAAGAAATGAGGAAGCTGAAGGGAGAGCTGCAGGCGAGCAGACAGAGCGAGCAAGAGCTGCGCAGTCACATTTGTAATCTGACCAACAGTGAACACAGTCTACGCCCTGAAGTCTCTCTGCTCAGACATGCAAATGAACTGCTGCAAAACAAGTGAGTCCACTGATCTCTTCCTGTTGGTCTTGGCATTAGTGATCTGGGTTGATGTTAGGTCACGCTGCTTGATGTTTGACTGATGTTTGCGTTTATATATCACACATATGGGTGTTTCTTACTTAACACTTTAATAGTTTTCCAGCTTTTATGTATAGACTGGATTGTTTGTCCTTTTGTCTCAGACTTTTAAACTTAAACTATGCAGATCCATCATAAAAATATGATTTATTATAATTTGAATAACTAATCTATTAAAAGCAAAAACTATTTAAATATTTGTGTAAAAATATTTATATTTAGAACTCTCCCAACATTTCCATCACAACCACTAACTTTTGTCCCATTAAAGTTTTTTCCCCCCCAAAAGTTAGAGTTCTTTGTTACAAAGAAAAACAACAAAGAATATTATGTGTGAACAGAATATTTTGTGTGGTACTTCCAATCCAGCTTATGTATATAAAAAAATAAATAAAATTAATAAAAAAATATATATACAGTATATATATATATTTTTTTTTCTTATATATATATATACAAATATATATATATATAAATAATATAAAAATATTAGAATATAGAATATTTTTTATATATACAAATAATATTTGTATATTTTATGTTTTATATTATATATATATATATATATATATATATATATATATATTATTTGTGTGTAATTATGATACATATAAAATTAGACTTTCGGCAAGGATGCATTCAATTGATCAAAAGTGACAGCAAAGGCATAATTTGACAAAAAAAAGCATTTCAAATAAATGCTGTTCTTTTGAAGTTAAACCTACAAAATTATTAGTTTTGACAAAAATATTAAGCAGCACAACTGTTTTTAACATTTATGATAATAAGAAATGTTTCTTGAGCAGCAAATCAGCATATTAGAATGATTTCTGAAGGATCATGTGACACTGAAAACTGGAGTGATGGTTGCTGAAAATTCAGCTTTCACAGGAATAAACTTTAAAATATATTAAAATAGAAAACAGTATATGTTTTTTGATCATATAAAGGCAGCCTTGCTGAGCATAAGAGACTTCTTTCAACAACATTAAAAAAATCTCTTCAACAGTATTGTGTACATTACAAATGAACGATGTGCTTTAAAGATAGCTCGTGCTTTTCTTACTGTAAGAGTAAGTGCAATTTGACCAAATCTAACGCTGTTCCTTTAAATTATGTGGTGCTCTGCTGTGCAGGATTCAGTGTCTCACAAAATCCAGACAGAAGGACAAACAAAACTGTTCCTTGCTGGAAAAGAAAATCAGAATGGAAACAGAGGCTCGAGTTGCAGTAGAAAAACAACTTGCAGAAGTCAGAGCCCAAAAATTTGATGAAGCAACGATTTTACTTCGGAGCGCATCACACAGGTAATTGTATTAATAAAGCAGTAGCGCAAGAGGCATACATATGCATACAGTATATTAATCTTGTCAATGCGATTTAGAATTTTTTAATCTGTGTCTTTGAGACTAGGTCTAAATGTCCTGCTTTTTAATTAATAATTGGCAGTAGAATTCTTAATGCAAAATAGCAATGGCAAAACTAAACCTGTAAAATGTTGTGTTTTTTCCATCCACTATAGGCAAGAACACAGTGAAACTCAAATGTTGAGGAAAAAAGCTAAAGATCTAGACTCCGAGTACAAACAACTACAGCTGGAATATCAGGAGAAAGAAAATCGAATGATAGCTCTAGAGAATGAAGTGGAGGTAACGCGTTCGTAGATCGGTTCAGTTACATACTGCATTGAATAGTTGTGCTGTGCTGGATGTTTGTGATTCGTATTTGTATGTTCTTCATGTTCTGACACATGTCAGATCTGGTAGCTTGCTGTCTGTGGTGCTCAGCCTTTGGCTCTTTTCTTTTTTTTGGTTGGGGTGGGTGAACGTTTCTGTGCCGAATGCTGATTCTGAGTTTTTTTCTTTTGTTGTCATTATTTCTTGTTCCTCGCCCAGTTTAAATGCTGTTATTGCCATCTGCTATTTAAACCATGCCAAAACAGAAACCACATCTTTCAGAAATTATTGTGCAACCTGCACATATTTGTATCATGATGAATTTAACAAGATTTTGAACAATTTTCTCTTTTATTGGAAAGAATTTAAAATTGTATTTTGTTTTGGTAATGACAGAGTAATGCAAGTATGACCCAAGGGAATTCAACTCTGCAGGACTCACAGATATTTATTAAACAAAATTTGTCCATACAAAATTTGATTATTTATTATTTTTTTAAATAGACTATTTTTTCAATAGCCATCACACATGTAAAATTTACAACAGTATATTCTCCTATAATGACTCCTTAAGTTGGAAACAAATATTTAAAACTATTTCACTTACTTTACTTATTTTTTTTTATTTTTACCTTGAAACGTCTGTTCTGGGAGTTTGGTGAGTGGGTACGAAATTCCATATGGATGGATTGCTTTACGACAGCAACAAATGTGGTGTGGGCTATTCAGAGTAATTACGACAGTCAATTCCACTCACTTAACTCTAGGGGGCTCCAAAGTAGCAAAAATACACAAAACTACATACAGTTGCTTTAAAGATGAAGTGTGTAATTTCTTTGCATCGAGTAGCAACCAAAGGAAATTGAAAAATAATAAATAATAAATCCCTGGGTACTTTATCGAATGAAAAGCAGTGTGTCAAATTAGTTGAATGCCCAAATATCCAATATTTATGAAATTGTTTGTGAAAAAAAACCTGAATAACATACTGCATTCACAAAAATTCTGAAGTGTGCAACCAGTGGACACTTTGCTATCCCATAATACCACTGGAGCTGTCAGATTCGACAAAAATGGTCAGAAAACATTCAACAGAACATACTATGTTAGTAGAATGTTCATGTGCGTACTCAAAGAATTTACTTAAACAAGTTCTTCATCATATTAAGAACATAGTCTGAAAGTAAAGTAACTGTTTAATATCACAAAAAAGGGACAGTTCACCCAAAAATTAAAATCTGTCATCATTTACTCACCCTCATGATGTTCCAAAACTATGTGACTTATTTTCTTCTGTGGAGCATAAAAATATATATATTTTGAAGAATGTTTGTGACCAAAGAGTTTCAGTTCCCATTGACTTGTATGGACAAAAATTACAATGGAAGTCAACAGGAACCGAATATGTTTGGTCACAAACATTCAGCAGAAGAAAGGAAGTCATACAGGTTTGGAACAACATGAGGGTGAGTAAATGATGACTTTTGGCTGAACTAACCCTTTAAACATTATAAGGTTGAAAGCCCAGATTTTTTTTGGAACTAGACAAATGGGATTCAAATGTTCACCTGAATCATTCATAATCACCCAAATCTTTCATATCACCTTTATTTTGTACTGTTCTGCTCTGTTCCTATCTCCTACGTGCAATATTCTCCTGCTCCTCCCCAGACCCTCCAGAGGAACAGATGCACGGAGCAGGAAGCGGACGCTTTGCTCTCAGTTCTCTCCTCCTTGCAGGACAAGGTTCAGCATCTAGAGTACAACCTGAGTGCAGAAACCCGTCTCAAGCTAGACCTCTTCTCTGCGCTCGGAGACGCACGCAGACAGCTGGAGATAGCGCAAGGTTCATCTCATTTCAAATTATGACAGTTATGCATACAAGACCTATATTGCAATTTTTTTTATTTATTTTAATCTAGGAACACACAATATATTGGTAACATATTGGCCGGTTTAAATATTTTTTCCCCCAACTTATCTTCATCAGTCTGTTTTAATTTTTTTATGTCTTTCTTTACAGTTAAAATTCTGAAACAAGACCACGAGGTCAAAGAAATGAAACAGAAGCTTGCTGAAGCGATGGCCGTGGCTCCAGGTATGTCATACATGGCCCCCAGGTCCTCTATGCCTCAGTACCTCAAGTTCTTAAACTCTGAGCGCTACATGCTGAATCCCAGAGCACTCATGTACCAGTGTCTTAAGAAATAAGACCAGCGAGGACAAATCGGACGGGGCGGCCTTTGAAGGATTGTTTTGACTCAACATTCCAAACATGAGGGCATCTCTGCTTCAAGGTTTGCCCAAAAACGTTGCCTTTTGACAATGCCAACAGCCAGCCTCGGGTGCGTCTATGGCTGTGTTTACTGATTTCAGCAGAGATACTGAGGCCGCTTATAGGTGACCTTGCTTTGAGGTTCTTTCCAGATGAAATCAAAGTTGACTGTAAATACATTGTTGACCAGCGGATGACCATCGATTGCTGAGCAAACCGCTGCAAGCTGCGTAAACGGCAAGATATCAGTTTAATAGAAAGTGTGAACTTGATGAGGAGCAGTTTATCATGAGGACAGGATATCCTGTGTTGGGTTTCAAATGAAGAGGCTCTTCTTCAGCCATGACAATAACAGGCCAATGCCTCACTTGGTCATTCTGTGCCTCATTATTCATGTGAATTCAATTTATATAGCAAGCCAATATCAAACGTAAGTCAGTATGTGAATATTCGAGTGCTTTGTACCGTTTTGTATTCTTTTTACATTACACACGTTACAACAGAAGTGACCAAAACAAAAAAAACAAAAAAAAACGAAGTTTGTAGGGTTTCATGTTTCTGAAATTGTTGCCTTTTTTATGTATCAATGGGATGTTTTTTATGAGAAGTTTATTTTTCTGGATTGACATACTTTTTTTTTCCCTAAACCAAAATGAAATAATGGTTTAATTTTGTAATTCTGCTTGTTGGTCTGCATGCCAATTTATGTAAACTGATTGTTTTGAGAAAAAAAAAAAAAGATTTTGATGTCTAATTGTGCATTTGTGCAAGGGCTGTTTTCTTCCAATAATTCTGGAAGCACTAATAAAGTCATTTTCAATGATAATATTGTATTCTTTTCCACATGACTTTCTGACACGAGACTTCAAGTTCTGTCATCATTTACTTTTTTTTTTACCAAACCTATATGAAGTCAAAGCCAATGCAGTTTAGTGTCATCCACTAACTTTACTGTATGGACAGTATTCCACAGAAAGGAAAAAAAACAAGTCACATGGGTTTAGAATGACATGAGGGTGAATAAAAAAAATGACAGAATTTATCTTTTTGGGTGAACTATTCCTTTTAATATTGTACTTAGGAGCTGAAATGAAACGGACAAAGAATGGAAGTACTCAGTATCTCATCTTTATATCAATGAATGATGCAAATTGAAAAGATTTAACAGAGTAAAAGCAGTTATGAGTTTCTGAATGTTTTGCATGATACAAACTAGGCAATTCAAAATGATTCTGAGTAATAGTTTCCTCCCGTTAGACAGATCAAACAGAGAGAGGGATTGATACAAAGCATGTTGATTCTTTCAAAACAATCACAGAATGAATCATCCATTTCAAATTCTTCTAATTTGTCACTGCTGGTCTGCATTAACAAAAGAAAGCATTGTTTGTTGTGTGCTTTTCAATGTTTCAGGCATAATTTCCACTCCGCTGTCTGATATCTGAAGCAATTTGCAATTCGAACCATTATATAATTAAAAAGAAACAAGCAACATAATTATCGATCAGAAGAAAACTAGAGTTTCTCAGTTATTAAACTGCATTTCATGCATAATTTCAAATTAGCTGCTTGTAACAGATGATGTTGATGTGCTATCGAGGTGAATATGAAATTTATTGCCATCAACATAAAACAAATCAGTGCAAACTGCTCATTTGGGCTGAAATGATGCTGCCCCAAAAAAAAAAAAACGCACCACCAGACACCCTCTGAGTTTTGATATACTGCAAACATGCCAAAAAATTGTTACAGTATACTAGCATGCAGACCAGTTGACAAAGAAAACAACACTACAAAATCTGCTCTGAAAAAAGGAATAATACAATGTGTTTGTCAGTCTATGGGTCTTCTGAACATGGATTTATTTTGTGTCTGTTGAAGGCACATTTTAACACGTCTAGTGCACTGGAGATCGTTTCTTTATACTGAAACTCATAACTGTGTCACATACAGGGAAAACAGAGAAGTCTAATCAAGTGCCCTTCGCTTCGAAACCATTCAAATGAAAACTTACAGCATACATTCACATGTAATGAAGGGGAAAAAACAGCCGCCACAATGATGAAAGTGAAACACGCTTCAAGATAGACCATACGCATATAGATAAATAATCGGTTTGCTTTTTTCAACGTTTCGAGAACCCCTTTCCTTTCACAGTCGTCGTAGATCTTGCATTGCAGACCAAAGTTAACCACAATTAACGTGTGCCTTAAAAGGTACAAAGAAAATGTCATTTGGTAATAATTTCAAAACAACACAGTAGAATAAATGAATGATTGAAAGGGTGAATAAAAGACCATGAAATATGCATGTGATGTGCCTAAAAAGACAAACAAAGATTTGCTAAGGTGCAAACCAGAAGTAACCCATCCCACACATACTGTAAGCAAAAATGTTCCAAAATACAGCTCATAATACTGATTTAAATAATAAGAGTCCTTTTTTCTTCTTTTAAAACAGAGAAGCAGACTGCTACACTGACAGAATGTACACGGGAACCATCAGCCAACAATTTTCCACCACCTAAAGCAGTGTGAAGAACAGAAGGCAGGGGTGCTTTTCTTTCTGAGGCTCAGTTCGAGGAGTTCTGATCCCTTCCTACAAAACTCACACATGATCCTCTGAGTGATGAAGCGCTAGAGTCCCGTCCCGTGCATGAAGATAAAGGATGGTGGAGAGGAGCTGGCAGATTTGACCCTCTGCTATGAGGAAACGGTTACAGGATTCAGAGAGCCGTTACGGCTGTAGTATCTAGAGAACGCCTCCTCCAGCACAGTAGTGAGACGTGGCTGGTCCCCCTTGACAGAGCCAGAAAAAAACTAGTTTAAAACAAAGTGGCACCAGTAACTGAAGGAAAAATAAAGATAAAAATTAATACCTTTTAAAATTGAAATAGAATATTTAAAAACAAAAACTAAATAAATAAACTAAAGGGATGCTGCAAAGCACATCTTGAAATCTCAGTTAGATCAAATGGAATTGGAATCCCTAGAACAGATCAAATAAATAATTGAAACAAAAGGAACGACGCCAGAGAAAGTGGCTGTAAAATAAAGCAATAAGCCCCAAGAAGCCGTGGTTTACAGTGAAATTAGAACAGCTAAGGGGCGTTGTTAGGCATGACGCGAAGCTAAACGGAACCTTCCGTTTTATAAAGCTGAATTAACTACTGTGCAGGGTCAGGTGTTAATGGCAGAGAGAGATGAAATAGGAAAAAATGCTGGAGTTAACACAGATGGTACAGCAGCATTCCTTACAAAAGTGCCAAATCTGACAGATGACAATACCAATGAGATGAACTGAGAGAATTCCTTGCTTAGAGTCAAGAAAGAGCATGAATTGCTCATTAAGACTGGAGGGAAACCCTCTTTAAATGAAGAAAACTGGCTGTGAATTGCAGAAAATTGGTGTAATGGTCCTACCAAACAAAAAGCCATGGTTGTACAGATGAAAAAGCTGTCGTATGCTAATTTGCACTAGCGTTATAGTGCCAAGCTCTACTGTGGTATTCTCTGAGAGGTCTGGCTCTGGTTTGTGCATTAACAAAGAAAGTTTTCATGTCTGTTTTTTGGGTACATCTCATCCATGGACTCTACTCTATGTGCTGTTCACTAATTAGCTCACATTGTCTCTCTTTTCTTATTCTTCCTGGAATCAGCCACAGCTGATCCAAACGTTTCCTCAAGCAACTGAATTATTGATTGGAAAAATTTTATGAATGCTGGCACTAACTAGTGATTTGTAAATTTGAACCTGGTGACATGTTTATATAAAAAATTTTTTTAAAAATCCAGAAAATTGTGTGATCTCACCAATACTGACTAAACACAGTAACCATGCCAACAATAAAACTAGGGCTGCACGATTAATCGAATGTGATTGTCATGCGCATCTTGTCAGTAAAGCCGGTTCTGTGATTAGTAGTAAATCTCCATCACCTGCTTTCAGATGGAGCAGCGTTTACTACACAGAGCTGTAGTTCACTGACAAGCTACGCAAAATCGTGTTCATAATCGCAGACGATTTAATCTGCGATTATAAAAGCTGTTTGCGTAGCTTGTCAGTGAACTACAGCTCTGTGTAGTAAATGCTGCTCCATCTGAAAGAATGTGAATATACTACATTTAATAACATATTTTTACTCCAAACTCACTTCATAACGTCAGTCGAGTGTTTGAAATAAATCCTTCTGTGAGATGATGTGGCTTCTTACACAGAATAAGACTAATATCGCAATACCAAATACCGGCACATGTCTAAGCATGAAACGGCATTCTAAAAATCATAATTCCTCGATTTATAAAGAATAAAATCATGGCAAAAATGTTAAATTACAATTAATCAACAAAATCAGAAAATTCGCTCAGCCCTATGTCCACCTTAATATTATTGTGGTCATATGAAATGGTGATACATTTTATTTTGATGAATATAAAGAAAAAAACGGAATTAATCTGAAACTGAAGTCTATTGTAACATGATGTCTTTACTGTAACTTATAAAAAGGATAATTTCTTTCAAAAAAGGATGGTAGTGTATATCAAATCTTGAGTGAAACTAACAAAATCTTACCTCACTAATGAAGCCAAGCTGGACCAATTCCACGGCCAACTCCTGTACATTCTCATCTAAAACACACAGAACACCATTCTTAAGTTTCACCAATACTCCGTTGGTGCAACAAGTCAAAATGCTGCTGGTGGAAAAGTGCCGTATGTGAACACTAGAGCCTGACCAAAATGGTTTTTTTGGGGCCAATACCGATATTAGGGAGTAAAAAAAGGCCAATACCGATATATCGGCCGATATTGTGTGAGTATATTATAGTACAGTACCAGTCAAAAGTTTGGACACTTTCCCATTCGTGAGTCCAAACATTTGACTGGTACTATATATAGAATACAGTATATACATAAACAGAATATATATACATAAACAAATTTTTTTGCAATGATCACTCAAATGTGGTGATCAAACACTTATAATGGTGACAGAGATATGTAAGGGCATTTAACAATTTAACAATAAACTTGCGATGAATAAAGTAACGGGGTGTTAGTTGTAACACACGTGGTTTGAATATTTATTTTACCATAGTAACATTTCAATTCTGGCTTAAGTAAATTTTTTATTATTCATTTAAAATGAGACAAATCTGCTATTATTTTAATCTCCAATCTGTTATTTATCAGTTCAGATAGTTTTTTAATGCTTTGATTACTAGCAGAAGACACTAACCAGTTTTAAATTCCAGTTGCGCAGATGGGGCACGTTGTAACACTGCGTTACAATGTGCTATTCTATGACATTAGCGATGTAATTTACACTATTTACTTTAATTTTAATGAGAAACAACGAGAAACAGGTGAATAAAGACTGACAGTCAATGTTTAATGTTTAGAAATTATTATTTCAAGACATGTAAAGCATTTTTGCTCGTTTGTGTGGGCCGTCCCAAGCATGGTTGCAATGTGTTCATTGTCAAACTCCGAAATCAGATTATTTTTAATGAACTTAAAAAACGCCATTATTTTATTTGAACCAAAAAAATATTATATATATATATATACATTTATTAACAAAATATTTTAGTTTGTCTTGTATATTTTTTTCATTCTCATGCACTTTAATGCCCTTTGAATGTAACGTGTACGTTCCCTTGGCACTGGAATCATGGCGGAATTTCATGTGAA